ACGTGGGCGCAGAGGTTGATGAGCCCCGGCTCCTGCCCCGGGGGCAGCCTGCGCCTGGCCGTGGCCAGCGGCGGGACCTCGGCGGGCGTCCAGTTGAGGTTCCGCTCTTGCTTCTCGGGCGACGAGTCGGAGGAGTCATCAAACATCAACTCCTCCTTGGGCTTCTCGGTGCCGGCCTGGGGCGAGCAGGGGCGGCCCCGGGGCGGAGACCCTTCCCGCGAAGAGCCGGGGCTCCACTTCCCGTCCGCGCTGCCCTCATCCGGGGAGTCGGGCTCCTCGTTCTCGTTCTCCGCCTCCTCCTCCTCCTCCTCCTCCTCCTCGTACACGACCAGACGAGGGTGGTAAGACGCCTCGTCCTTCCGGGCCTTCTCGGACACGCAGTCCAGCACCCAGTCCGGGGTCACGACCCTGATGCCCGCCCGCTGCAGCGCACAGGCGTACTTCTCCTGGGAGCAGAGCAGACACGGAAGAGCTGCGTGCGCCGGGGCTCCCCAAGTCTGCGCAGCACGAACTCAGGGGGTGACGCCGAGCCCGCAGCGCCCCGAGCTCCCTCACGCCTGTGGCCACACGGGCCGGACGCCAAGGACGCGCCTCTCGCCCGCACGGGACAGGCTCGCTGTAAAAGCTGTGATGAGGACCGCAGGTCCGTGTTTGTACAAATAAAAATGAGCTGAAGCTCTGCCGGAGGCTCTGGAGACTCAAGTATTTCCCCACTCCCTCCGTGGAACGAGCCCTAACCGTAGTGAATTCGGACGTCACCTCCGCGTCCAAGGAAAACTTACGATCGCGTGACCTGCTCTGCGGACGGACGGGCAGGAATAAGCCGGCCAGTGCGGCTTCGTCGCTCGGCGTGCTAGCACCCCAAGCCCAGAAAGCGGGGCGCCGGGGAAGGCGGGAAGTGGCCGCTTACCCCCTTCGGCTCCGGGACCACCAGGTGAGTGCACTCCTTGTTCAGGGTCAGCTGGCAGCGGCCCCCGTAGAAGGTCAGCAGAGCCCACAGGGCGCTCCTGTCTCCGGCGGACACCTGGGGGACAGCGCATCAGCCCCGCACGGCTCGGGAGCGAGGCGCCCCGCAGCCAGAGCGGGGCTGCGACCTGAGCTCGGGCGCGGCACCCCGAGCTCCCCGCCCAGCCGTCTCACGGACAGTCGCTTCGCCCTCTGACCCGGGCGCCGGCGGCGGGCACAGATGGCGCCGAGCCCACGGTCACCGAACGGCTGAGTGTGGCCCCAGGGCCACGAGCCCCTCAGGGGGCCCCTCGTCAGCACACAAGCGCCGGCCCCATCTGAGCTCACGGGGACACTGACAAAGCCACCCCGTGGCCGGGCCCCTGCGCAGCCGCTTCTCTGGGAGCCACCCGGGCCGCCAGCATTTGGAGTCTGAGGCGAGAGTGCCGGGGAGCACAGAGGCGCGAGGGCAGGGGCGGCACCCCGCCCTCCAGCTCTCGCGGGCTCCGCTCAGTCGCGCACTCCGACCCTCGCTCGGGGTTCGGCTGGCCCCACGCACTGGCCGTAAGCGTCTTCTTTCGGCTGCGGGGGTCACCACGCAGACGGCTCTGGCTACCACGGAGGCCGTGGCTCGTAACGGCCTTCCGAGGGGCCGTGTCCCGTCGAGGAGTGACCGTCCCGCGTCAGAGCAGCAGGGCCGCGCCAGGCCCTGGGGGCTTCTCGTAAATGTGTGGGCGCAGGGGGCCGGCGGGCTGCAGGCACCCTGCTGGCGCGTCCCAGCCCGCCGCGCTGCCCTCCGCAGGCCAGAGCCTGCACCGTCCGGCCACGGGCCTGCCACGCCCTCCGGCCGCGTCATCCTGGGGCCGGAAGTCGCTGTGGCAAGCGCGTCAGGGAGGGAGCCTGGCACTGATGCAGGAGCCCCCAACCGGCTAAGGTCACCCTGGAGCTGTCTGCGCCAGACGCCTCGTGGGGCTCACTGGGCAGATGGGTCAGGACGCCGCCGGCCCCCCAGCCACACGGCCGTCGCACTGTGTCCCCCTGCGGCCTGAGTCGCACCGGGCTGGTGCGAGAGCCCCTCCTTCGCCTCTGGCTGAGCGGCCCCGCCACCCCCAGCTTCATCTTGCTCCTACTCAGGCCTCGGCAGCTCCTGGGATTCAGGGCCACAGCGCGGGGCGGCCAGGAGCCCGGGCGCAGCTCACCTGGGAGAGGCAGGCGGTGACCCCAAAGAAGACTTGGCACGACTCCGGGGAGAACCCGCTCACTCTGAGGCGTCAGGTTAAGGGTCCAGCGAGGTGCGAGCCGGGCAGCCGCCAGGTCCCACTGGCCCCACACCCGGCATCTGGAAGAGGACCTGCTGCCCAGGGTGCGGGCCGCCAGCACCAGGAGAGCCAGCCCGCGGGCACCGCCGAGACCGGCGGCCTGGACAGCGGGCAGCGGGCAGCGGCCTGCACGGGAAACGCTCCGGCCGCCGCCAGCCCCACGCGCTCGTGCGCAGCAGGACACGGCGCTGCGCACGTCCCCGGGAGGGCCAGTGGGCTGCCCCAGGGGCCAGCTCAGGGCCGACACACGGGCAGCCCTGTGGCCGAGTCACCTCCGGAGGAAGTGGCCCCAGGGCCGCAGACCCTCCCATCTCCCGCCGCCCCTCAGCAGCGGGTCTCCAGGGACCTGCTGTCCTGCTCCCCGCTGTCTCTGGGGATGCTCGCACCCCTGCCTCTGGCTGCACCCCAACTTGTGTGCATAAGCAGATCTTTAAAATAAGTAAACAAAGTCTCGAGCAAGGTCGCTCCGGAGGGAAAGCGCCGTGACGCGCTGGCCGGCTGTGTCCTGCACGCGCCACGGCCGGCCGCGCTCCGCGTCTCAGACAGGCCAGAGGGCCCCTCGCCGGGCCTGGCGCTGACCACGGCAGGTCAGCCCACTCCATGCCGGCCAACAGCCCGGCAGGCGCCCGACCCTTGGCCGTCCAGCCGGCGCCGCAGTGCTGCGGACGGGCCTGGGAGTCGAGGTCGGAAGCGGTCAGTCTGGCTCCTGGCTCCAGGGAGGAGCGGCCCGCTGGGGCAGGCGCGCCCGGCAGTCACAGCGAAGGCCCCCGGCAACCTGGGAGCCGGCCGAGCCCGAGTCTCCCGCAAGGGGGACGGGCGCCCCAGGACCCTGGGGCACCCCCCCGGGCCCGCGCCAGCTGCCTGGACAACGTGACTAACTCCGACGTCCACGCCAGGGCCTGCCCAGCCTCCAGGAGCCGGGCGCGGACGGCACAACACTCATCAGAGGGCTACGCCCCGCCCCAAAGGATACGGCAGGAGAGCTCCGCACTGGACGGACAGCGTCACCCAGGAGGGCTGGAAGAGAAAGCAGATCGACAGTCCTCCAGGGCCATCGGGACCTGGCCACTCTGGCGGCGCCAGGCCCTGCCGGCTGCTGCCAGCCGTGGCCCCGGCGCTCCGGCGGGCAGCGGCCCTCCTCGGCAGGCCCCTGTGGGCCCCCGCGTCCAGCCCAGGGTCGGGAGCCCACAGGCGTGCAGCTCACCCTGTCTGGAAAGCGCTCAGAGGTCTGTGGCGCATGGCGGTCACAAAACTGAGGTCAACGGCTATCTTTGGGGGAGCAAAATCCAAAACAGTATCTCCCCGTGTCTATGTTAACTTCCTTAATGACGTCAGTCACTCTCCTGGTCACTCTGCTTCCCAAACCTCCACCTAACGATACCGCCGGCCACGCCCGATGCGCAGTGCCAGGCAGGGGCCCGCGGGCAGACGCCGACCCAGGAGCGGCCCCCAGGCGCCGGCCTCACAGGAGCCCGGGAGCACGGAGAGGTGCGCGCCCTGCGGGGCTCCCCGCCCCGGGCACGAGTGCGGGCTGCGGGCATCGCATCTGGGCTGCGTGTGGGCAGCTGCGCTGCAGGCAGCTCGCAGCCATGTGGTCACTCTGGAAGAAGTCCAGGCACTGAGGGGAAACTGCAGCTGCCGCTGGTCTCCCCAGAGAGGCCCGTCCCCGGGGGGCTCCCCAAACCAGAACGTCCAGTTCTCCCCGCGCCCCGGCCCCAGACGCCCTCAGCATCGGCGCCGCGTGGCCCGAGCTGCGGGCAGGAGGGCAGGAAGGCGCCACACCTCAGGCGCTGCTCAGGCCGGGGGGACCCCCGCAGAGCCGTGCCCCGGGGCCCCCCACCTCAGGAGGCCGGTCCGAGGGAGCCGCCGGACAAGCCCTCAGGGCTGCAGGACGGCGCAGACGCGGGCGAGAAGATACCGAGAAGGCACCGGGCAGGCGTCAGTGGCGCCCCGGGGAGGCCCGAGCCGCCAAGCATGGGGCAGGGCTGGGAGGGCCGCGCGGGCAGGCGGGGCGCAGGCTCCAGGGCGCCGGGGTGCCCTCCGGCTCCCAGCAGAGCCGCCGCCCAGCGATGACCTCAGGGCTGACCAACGCCGGGCACCCGCCATACCCAGCAGCCCGGGTATGTCACACGGGGCGGCAGCCAAGGAGACGAAGCCACCACACGGTGTGTCCACAGCAGGCCGGCAGGCAGGGCTGCACTGCCCGCCTGCGTGGCCTCCAGGCGTGGGCACACTCCGCGGCGCCGCGGGCCAGACGCTCGCTCCAGGACACCCACGCCGAGGCCTCCCGCTCACGCAGGAGCCCCCCGCCCCCCAGAGAGGCGCCCGCAGGCCTCCGCCCAGGCACAGCTGCACGCGCCCTCCGCGGGCCACGGGGACACGGCACGGCCCACGACACCCACCTTGACCACAGGCAGGTCAAAGACTTCCCGGGCCTCCCCCACCTCCGGGTTGTCCCCGTCTTCGGAGATGATGTGTGAGGCCAGCGCGTTGTACGACACCTCCTTGGCCTTCCCGGCTCTCAGGAGCTGAACCACCTTGAAGAGAACCACGCACATGTTTCACTGTGGGTCCAGAACGGCCGCAGAGCCCCGCTCTGGAGTCAGCGACGGGCCACGCGGCCGGCCGGGCCACGCGGGTACCTGAGGAGCGCCAGCACCGAGCAGCCCACGGGCGGCGGGGGGTGCTTCTCCCGCTCAGACGCCTCGCAGGGCCGGTGGCCACGCAGCGGCAGACCTGCGGGCAGAGCAGGCCAGGAGCCCGGCAGGAGCCGGCAGCCAAGGCCAGCTGGGGGCGGGGCGGCCCAGGAGCGGACGGACCCAGCTGGCAGGGACGCTGGGGCGCGGAGAGCAGCCCAGGAGGCGGCGGTAGGCGCCTCTGCCCAACGCAGCGGACCCCGCCTGCCCGCCCATGAGAGGCGCCCGAGCACACTCACTGGGCCACTGCTCGGGGCTCCCGCCCGTGGCCTCCGGGGAGCTGGACCTCAGCCGCCAACACCCGCGAAACGGGACGTGCGGCCCCTAACAAGTCCCTGCGCGCCTGGCCTCGGTCCTTCCACCACCACAGACCCTCGGGCTGTGCCCTGGGGGACGCCGACATCGTCGGGTCTCCGCGTCCGCTGTGTCTCTGGCCGGTGGGTCCGTGCCAGGGTGGGACTCGGGCTCTGGAGGTGCGCAACACCCCAGGCCACTGGCCCTCTGCCCGCTTCGGACCCCTGCTGAGACTCCTGACGACTGCTCCACCCCCAGGTCCCGGCTGCTGCAGGAGAGCGGCCGGGCCCGGGGCCCCACGCGCGGGTCAAGGGCAGGTGCCCCGCGCCGAGGGTGTGCCCATTAAGCACGCAGGTTTGGTTCAAAGTTGAGCAAACGCGGCTCACACTCGGCTAGCCCCAGGCTTTGCGGCCAGTGCCTTAGAGGGGCCAGCTGCAGGGGTGAGGGGAGGGTGGGAAGGGGGCCACGGCCGTCCAGCACCCGCCCCCAGCGCGCCGGCCCTTGCGGTCAACGCTAACCATCCTTAAAGTCCAGCAGATAAAGGCGGCGCCTGGGGTCAGCTAGCCACCCGCGCCGGCTCCCGCCCGCTCCCGTCCACACCGCCAGCTCCCAGGCCCAGCCCGCCCCGGCCCGCCC